TACTACAGACAGAATGATACCTCTGTAAGCCTTCTCTAATTATTGATCTTTGATATAACAGAATCGGGTGAAGGAGTTATGATCGAAAGTATGATCTTCTGTTATGATCGAAAAAATAATCGATTTTCTGTGGTACACATTTAATAATCATAATGGAAATTAAGATTGATGAAACGTGACCACAGAACAGTGTGAAGGATGATGATCTTCTGTTATGAGAGAAAAAAATAATCGATGTTCTGTGGTCACGTTTAATCACTCATAATGGAAATTAGTTGAAACAGACGATGAAAATTCAGCTTTGTATATTGTTGCTTCACAACAAATTAGAAATTGATAGTGATAGGCAAAATTTCATAAATCAAAATCAAAGAAACAGAAGATTTTAAAATTCTAAAATGTTGGCAAAAGTGCAATTTGAAGAAGCGTGTATCCACTCAGGCAGAGAACACACAGATGAAATATAGATAAAATATGTGAATGCTAGTGCATGTGCGCTCATACTATCTTCGGCAGCCTTTTCTACTTATTAATTGAATAAGTAGCGAAGGCTGTAATGGTCAGTGCAGTAGACTGCCTGTAGCAAGCGAGCGATTGAATATTTTTTGGAAAAAAGTGGGCGTTCACCTTTCCAAGGACCCAAAAAAAGAATTGTAGAAAATTTGGTGATGACCAAGCGTATCGCGAACAATCAAACAGACATTCTTCTTTGTATATAAATATTGTTATTAAAGGAACTAAAAGAAAACGCGATAATACTGGAAGAGCTACATTAAAAATTTGAAGAATTTTGCACGGAATGTTTTTCACAAGTTCAGCTAGTTATATATAATATATACTCTCATGTATAGGACGAACCCTTTGTTTTTATCTCTAATTAAAATATCCAAGGATCTACTAACTACAGTACGCTTTTTTTTTTTTTTTTTCCTTTGAGAACATACAGACTCCCCGTGCACCACATATGTACAACACGGGGTGCGAAAGCAGCTAAAATAAAAACACTACTTACCACACACTCGGATAAAACTTTTAGTATCTTTAAAAAGATTATGTTTCTTTGGTTCAGCACCTCTAATGTCACTGACTGTCGGTACCATCAGAGTAGTTGCTTGCTCTACCAATAATCATTAACCCTGGTACTGGTATCCCACAGCATGTCACCCCACAACTAAACTTCTACGATCTTATGTTATGTTCAACCACCAACCATATATATTATACTATTAAGCGAGTGCTACTAATATTAACTACTAATATAACTAGAGTGACTGCTACTAATACAGTGCTACTAATAAGCGAGTGCTAATAATACAACTACTAATATTATAAGCGAGTGCTTAACTATTGAAGTTAAGCACTCGCTGTTATGTTGCAAGCGCTGCTCTGATGTCGCATGTTTGTGTGAAGCTATTTCTAATCATTCGCGTGTATAAACTGCACCCCTGACTTACATCTGAGTTTTTATGAAAAAAATGTATAGCGAAAATATGTTATAAATATATTAAAATTATGTACTGCATTTCAAGCGATTTTTTGTCCTTCTATATTCATCTAACAAACACGATAGTATTAACAGTAGTGATGGCGCCCATGTTATTAAGTATTACTTTAAAGAGAAACTGAAATTGTCTAACCGCAGGTCACTGGCCTGGAGCATTGTTACAGACTTAGCTTTACAAACATAATTGATATCTCACGTTGCATTACAAATAAAAACATATGTTCTAGTTTTCTCGCAAATGATTCTCGACTAAAATTATAAATTTACAGCACCATTATACATAAATTAACGAATAATTAATTGATAAAAATTATTTATTAATATATTAATTTATATAATTTAACGAAATACAATTGTTAGCAATTTCCAAAGTCTACCGCCAAATGGCATCATAATATTAGAAGATATTCAATGCATTTGTAATGAAAAGAAAAAACGAGAGATAATGAATGTAACCACGACGACAGCCGATATTAATTGCTCATGCACTTTTTAATAGATCAGGAGAATAAAGTATTTTAATGATGTTGGTTGTGAATTTTTGTCCTGTTAAATAATAACGCAAAATAAAAAAGATACTCATAGTGGATGGATGTACGAGAAAAATCCTCACGCCAACATAACTAATATAAAATACAATAAACATGAAATAGATTATCCAAAAGAAGACGTTATACACGCATATTTAATTGACTTATATGATGACGCAGTCGATAATGGAGGTCCTGGAGTATTTTTGACTATCCCAAGCGATACTATCTATCAATAAAAAATTTGCGCTGGAGCCATAATCTATAATTTCGATTGCGAGGTTTTGGAAAAAGCGAAAATATTTTACATGTGATTTTTTTCCCGTTTCTGAGCAAGCAATAGAGCTGCTTTTGAGTTACAGAAGACTGGTTGTCTTCTGTAACTCAAAAGCAGCTCTATAATAGGCAATCCTGGAGGTAAGCCTCTTAATCACCAATAAGATCCAGTTTGCCTAAACAAAGTTCATAATTTAGATAAGGTCAACATTTATCAATGGTTTCTAGCACATGTCAATATCACAGCTAACGAAAATGCAGACAAACTGACAAGAGGCCGGAAATAAATTTCAACAATAATTCAATGTCACACTCTCGGACCAAATATAGATTGAAGGAATATTAAATTGCAATAAAGCATCAGCTCCATAACATCAATGGAAAGAGAGTTATAACTAAACTCACAGTTAGGATTAGAACAGGCCATCTCAGAGAATTACAAATTGACAGATAGAAGATAGGAAAACCTACAGAAACTGTGATAACTGCCCGGGCACGCATCTGACAAATGAACACACTTTTTTGTATCCTTGATGAATTGTTAAAACCCTTTAACTGTCAAGTTATTTTGATGATTTGGGTACACAAATTGTCAATTTTTTTATTGCAAAAATCCAATCAACATCCTCTAACCTTTGAAATCTTCAGTAAAGTGCTGTCATCTATTGAACTAAGCGCACATTAACTTTTCCCGAGATACAGTCGGGTTTGACAAAGAGATGAAGCCGAAATAAACATCTCCTGATATATATTCGGGTATAACAATACGATACACTCAAAAAAAAATTACCCCGAGTAATACTCGTGCGTGACATTTTCGAACACCAGTGCTGTGCCCGAGATTATCTCGGGCATGACAGTTAAAAGGTTAAAAATTGGAGGTCTTGTTTATGAAACCGAAACTCTACAATAATAATATTATGCAGATTGCCAAAGCTATTATCTTCACCCATGGCAATATTTGAATAGGCTGTTTAGGAAAATCTTTTTTGCAAAAAATTTACATATATGCATATATATATATATATATATATATATATAACCAGAACATAAACATAAATAAACCAGTGTTCTGGTTTATTTCTATTCTGGTAGCTTATTTTCTTCATCATTGATTCCTTTCAATTCCGCTGCCATTTTTGGTACTTTATGTGTCATTAGTAGCTTGCTTCCTTTTCCGCATGACAAGAACAATATTTTGATAATTATAAATCTAATGCTATAATAATTCAGTTTAATGCAGTATTTCCATTGAACAGTATGTCACTTCTGATCTTTCTTTCGGATTTTGCAATTTAAAGCGTACTTTTTGAACTTATATTATTGCAGTATTTCTAGTCATCTAAATATCCTTAATTCATAATTATTATTTCTAGTTCATATTCCGTATTATTATTTGAGTTTTTATAATATTCCAATTATATAATTTACACTGTCTTATATTAATACATTTATAACTACATATTATCGCACGCTAAATATAACTTTTAATGGCCTTTCAAATCAGTTTAATATTTTTCCTTTCAACAGGAAATCAATTCCGCAGTCTTTTTCAAATTTTTCAATTTATAAATTGTATATATAAAATATTATTTTAATACTTCTAGATCCTCTAGTTGAATATTATTATTTTTAGATTTTAATCAGCATTATTATTTAAAGTTTTACAGAATTTATATTTTATAATGCATAATTCTTAATACAAATACATTAATAATTACTTGGTATTACATTTCAGCGCTTACTGCATATTCCATAGTTCTATTTTATCTTCAGCACATACAGCGTATTCAATTGTGCTATTTTATCGGGTATTCAAAATGTAGTTTTTGCTGTATACCTACCACATAATTTACGTATAAGCAAATAGGGTATTGAATTTGATGATATGCCTTGAACTGGAATCCAAACCACACTGTTATCATAGTATTTATAACGAGCAAACGCCTTTTAAAAATATCCAATTAGGACCTAATGGACTCTCTTTAACAGAAGAATTGCTTACGTTGCTTATAGTGAAATAACTCAATTTCTAAAGGATGACAACTAGTTTGGCTACATTTCAAAACAGAGTTTTACAGCTCTAAAGTGGCAGGTACAAACTTAATTAGATTATATTACTTACGAAATAGTAAAGTTTTTTTTTTTTTAACTTAGTGTGTTTTTTAAATTATGTTTTTATTTCATTTACTTGTTATTAATATTACATTTTTGGCTTTTTTGTTTATTTTTGTAAAAAAACATACATTTAAATTGTAGTTTAACTGTGCTTTTTATAAAAGTAATATCAAAGGTGCTTGTAAATAAAATTTCATGTAGTTTTTTTAATACGACAAAGCTCACAAGGGCTATTTATCTAAAAGAAGGGATGTCTGCCTCCAGGGTCTCTTAAGCGAGACTGTTTTTATTCATATTAAACTATGGAAAACCTCGAAAATAGCCATACAGCCAGCCAATCCGCCAAAGTTTGAATCTGACGAGGACTACTTACCATCGATTGTACCTCCTGGATGCTTGTAGGAATGTAAAGGAAACTTGTTTAATGTGTACAAAATTAGACACTTACTGTATTATTTCTCCCTGAAATTGCTATAAACGATTTAGTACAACGAATCATCAGTTGTTATAAACCTATTTTATAGAAACGCACTGTCGAGAAACTGAGTTAAATATTTGAAAAAAAAATCAGATTAATTACAAACTGCAGGACATAATTTTACTGAAAACGCTTTAAGAAGCTCGGTGCTTATGTTAGAAACAATTTCAAGATGATCTGCAAGTGTGACTACACATGTAAACAAACAAATGTAAACCTTGTCTCCATTTTTCGTAAACAAAGGTCCAGCAAAATCAACAGCTGTAATTTCAAAGGGATTCGCTGCATGAATTCTATCCGCTGGTAATGGAGCAATCACTTGAATGCCCTTTTCAGCCTTAAATTTCCTGCCAACGAAACATTTATTCAAGCACGATTTTACAGCTTGTCTGCCTCGAATTATCCAATAACTTTCTCGAGTTTGAATGAGTGTATCTGCACTAGCATGAAGCAAGTTCTCGTGTTCTCTTTTAATTAGCAATTTAGTGAATCTAGATTTTTTCGGTATAATCCATGGATGCTTTTCTTGAAACAGAAAGTCAGAATTTTGTAATCTACTACCAAGACATATGAGTCCTTCTGCCGTCATAATCGGGTTTAGACCATAACTCTTCACAGTATTGTCAATCATAAAAAAAGTTTTACTTCAAAATTTCCAATACGTAAATATTTATGTGAAAGACTTTATCGGTAAGTAAAGTATTTCATATGGTTAAATTATTTCACAGACAATTGATAAATAATCATGGGAAAAATAATGAATAATATCTTTCTTTTTTTATGGAAGCAGCTGACTGTATATTACTTAAAACAGATAAATTATTATTCATTACCCCAGTTATTGAGAAAACACGGTGTTCAACTGCATATTTCAGAAAAGCGTAATAACGAGTAAATAGCATAACAAATATACAGACACAACGTCATATCTGGCATCGCTTCCTTTTCAAGTATCAATTTCATTTTTGTTTCCATCTCCATCTCGTGCACACTAGCAATTTAGTCGCTGTATGTCTGTAATCATTTCCATATGTATACCTCTAAAAACTACTTCAACGTCCAACTTAGTTGTGACGTTTCGTTTCTTGTTTTCGTTTTGCTCTCTAATTTTTTCATTAAAAAATCCTTAAAAGTAATCAAAAAACTTTATCTTGGAAGTATAAGTAAATCGATTAATATACCTTGTATAATTTTTACCTAGTGCTTTTAAGGTTTCCAGTAAGATCAAAAAGAAACTCCAACATGCTATTCTTGAAACTATTGCAATTTTATAAATAGCACCCGTATAGTAAGGACACCAATAACAAATTGATTTCAGTGATTGAAATCTAATCAACCACTGTGATTCTTTTGAAAATTGAAAAAATAGAGTAGATTTATACAATTTAAAATACATTTCTGTCTTTTAAATATATACAAAAATTATTGCAGCCGAATTATTTAATTTTTTTTCAATATTAACATTTTCAGTATTTTTTTAATTTTAGTTATACTCTTCAAATTTAATTATTGCTTTTAATATTGGTGTACTTTTGATAATATAGAATTGCGCAAACAAAAGTATTTTGACTGTTATTAGAAGTTATTGTGGAATTTCCATATACACACTAAAAAGTAATAATTTTCAGACCAGAATTATAAAATCGAAAGTAATAAAAACATTAGTGTGTTATCAAAAGATAAGATGAAAATATCTGTATTTTAACTATTACTCGAAGATTAAAAAAACATTATATAGGTGAAGCCAAATTTCCTTCCTTATTCAGTACAATTAATCTCCTTCTCAAAACCATATACATATACTACTATGATATTACTAAAGCTATTAAAGTTTATGAGATCTTACAGCTGTGAAGTCAATTGGTTTCTAATAAATCACCAGTACATAAATGATAAAATTATAAAGCTTTAAAATGGCACATTTAAAAACTAAAATAAGAAAATAAGCTTCATCTTATAAGATCTTAATGGATAATTGGGAGGGAGTTCTTATCTCTATAAACCGTGTCTCTAAACTTTCACTTTGAGTTCAGTTAGCAATTAAGCTATTTAGACATTAACCTTTTTACAGAATATCAACTTAACAGCCTAAACGACCACAAGCAATTAACGACTTCCACTTGAACACCATCGTGTCAATAAATATAAAATTAAACGAAATATGATAGAGGAAAAAAATCTTGTGTGATATCAGCAAAATGTATAACTTAAGTACCAAAAAAAAAATCTCGTCAGAACCGAAATATTCGAGCGACTTAATCGAGCGAACGCAATTACAGCTTCAGGGCCATTGGAGTAAAGAGATCTTAATTTCATTTCTTTCCTATTAATCGACTCATATTAGTTTTCTGCGACATATAATCCGGAACGTTATAATCCCTAATTAGAAAGAGGTAAAAAGGTGATTATACAAAGCGAGGTACATTCCTAGAAAGGAAAAAATTATGCGATGGAATGGAGACATTTTGTATAAATTTCTTGCAATAAATTTTTCCTCTCTTGCATCCTTATAGATGCTTCTGAGTTGTAATTAGGAGAAATAAATCAATTAGAAATAATGATATAAATCCATTTTTCCATTTTGTATTGCCCCATACAGAACGGCGTTTATTCGAACTAATGGGCGTGCTGGCTGTTTTGGGTAACACACATAATTATATTTTACTTCAGTTAAAAACAGAAATGCATTTTCATAATTTTATAAAGGAAACCATTTAAATAAAAATATTGCAATACCTTTGCAAATTTGTTTCATTTAGAATAACGGATGCTTTCTTCAGGTATTGTTACGAAGGTCTCAGTAGCTTACCATGTTATTGTTCAATGAACAGTAATATTAGCTGATAAATATTGCTAAAATTTAGTTCAGAAACCTAAAGCAACAAAGCAATTTCTGTTGTTTTTATACCTATAATGAATTTCCTGAATAATAACAGAATGTGAACAGTGATACTTTTCACATATTTCATAGAGATAATGACACAAGGGATTTCATTCATATGAATGGAGCTTGTTAAACGTTAATAAATCTGTATCAAATAACTTTTATATTTGCTATTTATGATCTCATGTACATGCACAAGTACAAAGGGGCACGCAATGCCAATGTTTCCTATGATTAAATGGGCACAGTCAAATTCCGCTTCCAAATTTATTAAAATTTAGGACATATTAGTTACATAATACACAGTTAAGAAGATATGAGTAAATAGATTACAAGAAAAGTTCACAGTCGATGCCATTGTGCTTACATACTTTGGATACATATCTAGTAGATTTATAATACTCAGAATATTTGATACTAATGATGCTTACACTAATATTCTATGGAAAATTATTTAGCATATTACAATGAATAATATAATAAACGTATCATAATTAATAAATCAAATAGCATTCGTATGATTAAATCCTAACGAAACCATAACCATTCGTGATAACCAAATATGGTAAATGAGACAAATAAAAGGTGTTTTGCAAATACATTATACATATTTTATGTTCAAAATACAAAAATAATACATTATAAGTAACTTGCATAATAAATTTTAAATAACTTGTAATAGAAATACACAAGTAATAAATAATAAAAATGTAAGCCTAAAAAGCCTATTAGAGATACAGTTGAAATATCTTAGATAATAGTTTTAGATATTAAAGTTCTTGGATAGAAGATCATGAGAAACTTGACGTTATGATTGATAAACTTGTATAAGTCAGAAAACTCTTAGATAATAAAGAGTGTTTCTGAGGAACTTGAAGGTATAATTAGCTTATGAATGTATAGCTTGTATACGTCACTTTTCGAAAAAATCTTGAATACGTGAGAATCTTGAAAGAATTGAAGTGGAAATATCGTGAACATTGTGAGTTTAAGAGAAAATAATGAGCGGTTTGTTAAAATTTAGATCCGATGAAAGATCTTTTAATATATAGCATTTTAAAACTATTTAGCACAGTGTAATAAGTTCATTTTACAGTACGCAACATCCTCAAAAATAATCGTTACAACGCAGTCCGATCATCCATCTTTTTAACAACAATCTCTCTCGTTGCCATTCCGTAACAGAGAAACTTACCTCTCATGGAGTTCGATAGTGGCGCGACATTCTCCCCACCTTGAGTTTGGGGATACAAACTCAAAACAGTAATATAATGATAATACATACATACAATTTTGAGATAACAATAACGTACATAATAATAATAGAAATATTTCAAAATATTAGAATGCAAATTGAAATCAATATTTTAGAGTTCAAACACAGAAAGTTCAAAAGTTTGTTTAGAAGTTTATAAATCCAGTCTTTTAACTGGTTTTTTATTTTCGTCCTGAGCGAGACACGCGAACAGTTTCATTAGAGTCAGTATTAAGCTCAGGATTTTCAGCTACCACCACTTCCGGAACCTTCTGAGGTTCCGATACGACTTGCTCGTAATTTGGGGTCAATTCCAAAGGATACAGTCGTTGGATTGGTCTTAATATGTTTCCCTTTTCAGTTCGCAGTTTCACAAGTCTGATGATTCCATCTTTTCCTGGAAAGAGTTCCAGTACTCTCCCTAGCAGCCAATGGAGCCTTTTTTTATCATCTGTACCAATTAACACTATGTCACCTACATTTATTTTATCTTCTCTTTTGTTAACTGAAGAACGAAGGAAACCCAGATACTCCCTTTTAAACCTTCGTTTTAGATTTTCACGAACCTTTTGAATATGTCTCCATCTCAAAACAATATTAGTCTTTTCAATTTGATCCAAATCAGGAACATCATTTAATGGAATGTCCTGAAGAAACATTGAGGGGGTCAAGGTCTTCAGATCTTGTTCCTCGGATATGTAAGTTAACGGTCTGCTGTTCATGATAGATTCGCATTCACAGACGAGAGTCTGCAATTCCTCGTAAGACAAACAGGAGCGTCCAAGATTTTTTCTCAAAAGATCTTTCAAAATCCCAATCAAGCGTTCCCAGAAGCCTCCCCACCATGGAGAGGAGGGTGGGGTTAAACTTCCAACGAATTTCGTTGACTCTAAATTCACTTTCAATTGTAGTCCAATCTAATTGTTTCAGAGCATTATTTAGTCCTGTAAAATTAGTACCATTGTCTGAATACATCACAGAAATTCGTCCTCTTCTGGCTATAAACCTACGCATAGCTTGGATGAAGTCGTTGGTACTCAGTGAAGGTATTAGCTCAAGATGGACAGCTCTAAATACGGCGCAAGTAAAAAGTACTATCCACACCTTTTGTTTAGATTTAGTCAACAGAGGTCCAGCTATATCTACACCTGATACTTGAAAAACTGCTGCTACTTCTGTTCGGGTCTTTTGGAAGAGGCGGAAAAGGTACCTCAAGATGTTTTACCTTTTGCCTTTTACATGTTAAGCATTCTTTGATAACACTCCGGACAGTTCTTTTCCCTTTCACTATCCAAAATCTTTCCCGTAAAATAGTCAGTAGAGTTAATGTCCCAGCATGCTTGTTAGCAATATGTTCTTGGGCTATAAATCTTCTCACTGCCAGGTGTTTCGATGGTAGAATTATTGGAGAAATAAAATCTTTCGATTCTTCCTCATTTATCAATCTGGACTTCAATCGTAAAATTCCTTCTTCATCTTCAAATATTAGAAGACCTTTCAAATTTTTTCGTGTTTCTTCATTGGAGTAACATTCCTTTTGTATTACACGGAAAATAGTCCTTTGTGCATTTAACAATTCTTCATTTTGAAGTTCCTTACATTTTCTTTCTTTAAGTCCTTGGCCTTTGGTTGAAAACGCAGTATCCAAGCCATAACCCTAATCATCTTTGAAAATCTAGAGAATCTTCTGGCTAACTGTAATGGAATTGACTCTAGCTCTGTGTTACTAGCAGAGATGACTGACTTTCGTTTCTCTATCTCTACTTCTTTTTCGTTAATATTTACAGCTGACTTTGGCCACTGCTCCTTCGGATTCTTCAACCAGGCTGGCCCTTGCCACCACTTGCGTTTCTGAAGTTGCCTAGGTCCACAACCTCTTGACAAAATGTCTGCTGGATTCTGGTCAGTTGAAATATGGAACCAATCTTCCGAAATTGTCAATTTTCTAATTATTACTTATTCTGTTTGTAACGAATACCGACCACTGTTCTCGACGAGTTATCCACACAAGAACTGTGGAAGAATCTGTCCAAAAGTAAGTCTTGATGTTGGGAAGTTTTAGAGCTTGCTTCACAGAACTAAACAGCCTAGCACCTATGGTAGCAGCCATTAGTTCAAGTCGTGGTATAGTAATAGTCTTCGTTGGAGTTATTCGTGATTTGGCTTGAAGTAATTGAACAGTCACTGAACCCATACTGGATTCACTTCTTAAGAAAATGCATGCCGCATAAGCTGTCTTGCTGGCATCGACAAAAGTATGGATACTTAAATTGGATTCCTTCATCACACCTAACCATCTTGGAATTTTTATATTTTTGAGGTATTTCAGTTGTTTTCCCCATTTTAAAAAATTCTTCTTTATTTCATCATTCACTTCACCATCCCATGATTCTTTGCTCTTCCAAGCGACCTGCAGCAAAATCTTAGGCTGAATCATAACAGGTGCAAGGAAACCTATGGGATCAAATACTCGACTAACTAGTGAAAGCATTTTCCTTTTAGTTACTTTTTCTCTTTCATCAAATTTCAAAAATTCGGTGTCTATTTCCAAGGTATCTAAATCTTTGTCCCAAACCAGTCCTAATAATGGTGATGTTTTACTTTCTGAAAATGCAGGAATGCCAGAACTTTCCCATCCTCTGAGATCAAACATTCCTTCTTTCATTACATTAGTTGCAGATTCGATGAATATTTCTAGTTCGTCATTATTTTGTACACTAGTTACGCAATTATCGACATAAAAACTATCTTGTAATTTTTTAAGAAATTCTTCAGAATATTTTTCTTTCCACGTTTCTTTGGATAAATGATGGTCAATAACCGCCATCAGCAAAAATGGACTACAAGTAATGCCAAATACCACACGGGTGTGACGAAATGTCTTCACTCTACCATCATCACCATACCAAAGAAATCGTAAAAAATCTCGATCTCTTTCATTTAGAGATATCTGTAAAAAAGCTCTTCTGATGTCTGAAATCACACCAATTTCATGTAAGCGAAATCTTGCTAGAATAGACGGAATAGTTTCAATCAATCAAATTAATTCCAGTCTCTAAGCAATCATTTAGAGATGGCTGATTAGAAAGCTTTGCCGAAGCATCAAAAACGGGTCTAATTTTCATGGAAGATAGTGAGGACGTTTCCTTAATGACTGGACGATGTGGGAGGTAATGAACAACGGGTAAAGACAACTCCTTTTGGGGAACTTCTTCAATCACTCCTTCCTGCAGCCATTCATTAAAGACTTCATGATACCTTTCACGATATCCGATTTTTTTTTCCAACTTCTTCGTAGTAGATTCGAGTCTTTTCAAAGATAGGTCATAATTGTCAGGTAAGACTGCATGCTCAATCTTCCAAGGCATATCAACCTCGTATCTACCATTTTCTAATTGACGAACTGTTTCTTGGAAATGAACCATAATAGCTCTTCTTGACTCTTCTTTAGTTTTTTGTTCAACAGGATCTCGGATACCCAATAATTCTAAGTCCCACAACGATGAAATAGGCAGGTCTTCTTGAGATAACATAGAAACTATAGTCATATTTACATTGTGCTGATGTTCGGATTGAGGTACTTTACCCATCAAAGTCCAACCCAATTTTGTTTCTATAGCCACTAAACCTGTTCTTAGTTCTTCTCGTTTGCCAGTAAATAACTTCCCTGCAACGTCTGCCCCTAACAGTACTTCAATAGGGCCTGGATTCCCTTGGGTATCAGTTAAGCGTATTCCCTTTATTCCCTAATTCGCGAATCCAAGAACCGTATCTTATGCTTGAAATATCATTACAAATAACATCATGGTCTACAGCATCTAATTTACACGAATATTTACCATCAAGGCTACTCAAATAAATCTTGTAACATTGATGTTTATAAATTTCAGTTTTCTTTCCACCAAATAAAGAGTGACTAAATTCTTCCTCCCATTGCAAGTCAAAACCCATTTCTTCTGCAGTAGACTTTAAAACATAACTTTTTGAGCTACCCGTATCAATCATTAATCTAACTTTACGCCTTTTATTCTTACCCTCTATGTTCACAACTAGGGTCTGAAGGAAAACTTCATTCGTAGCACGCGAATGCAAAGAATCGATTGTTTTCTCTTTTTTCTCATCATTTTCCTGGTTATGCATTTCACTAGACTTATTACATTCAAGACTAGGACAAAAAAATTTCAAATGCCTTTTTGAACAAATCTGACACTTAACACTTGATCGACACTGGTTACTGAGGTGACCTTTAACCAAGCATATTCTGCATAAACCTTTCTTTTTTACCGCAGACATTTTTTCATCTAACGGAATATAAAAACGCCTTTTTACAATTACGCGTTTCATGATCTTTTAAACAAAACGAACAAGAAGGTATTGCTTCATGATTCATCAAATCCGACGCGGAAGGAATATTTTGGCTAGTTGCCAAGTGCTTACGATCAGACTTAGAAAAAATATCCGCTCTGCTTAATTTTATTTTTTCTTCTGACTGAACTTCGCTTTTCAGAAATTCAATTATTGCATCATCAAGACTCGAAATGTTTCGTTCAGATTCAGTAATTTTTCGTTGTCTTTCAAACGATCGCAATACGTGAATAGGAATAGCACTTTCCACAAGAGGATATAAAATTGTTCCACACTGATCAGTCGTTACACCACCAAGACTGCTCAGGGCTCTAAGTTGTGTTGAAAGTTTGTTATACAAACTACTCAAAGAATCCTGCTTCCTTTTCGCTGCGTTATCCAAAACAAGTTTTATTAACTCTCGAACATAAAAATCAATTAAAAGTTCTTTACGCCCATATCTCTCAGTAAGGCTTTCTATAGCCAAAGGATAATTTTCGTTCGTCACCGGAAAAAGATTCTACAATATCTCTAGCTTCTGATTTAATTTTTGTTGACTGTATCAAATAATGGAATTTGTCTGCATTCGTTAAGTTATTATTTTCATGTATGTATGTTTTTAAACTGATTCCAAAACGTAAGCCAATTTTTTAAATCACCTGCGAACTTATAAAGTTCTACTTTCGGTAGGCGTTGGCACAAAGTTTTACATGTATTTTCATCAGTAACTAATTTCTGACTACTCTCTACTCTCTGACGATGTATTTTGGATTTCGTTTAATTTACTCTTAATATTATCGAGAAATCGTTCCGATTTTAACTGTATCCTAACAGCCTTCTCTCGATAGTCCTCTGTTATTTCAAATTCTGTTTCGAATTCTTTATCATCAGTTATAGTATCTAAATAAGCACTGTGCGTCAATTCTAATGTTTCTGCCTTTTTCTTGAACAAATAAAAACACATTTCTGCTTCTTCATAATCAACATTATCATCATTTAAAAGTTCATCTAGTCTTTTATATGCTTTAGTAAAAGCTGAACGTTGCGCAGTTTTGTTTTTCTTTTCATCACTTCCATTTTGTCATAAAAGTTTAAAATATTCAGATAAAAATTAGGCAAGAAAAGTATTTTAAACTTCAGTAAAACAATAATCAATAACTTCAAAACGGAAGTATAAGGTAATCAACTTACCCTATCTATTCTTTCATCCGACATGTTTCCAACAAACACGCCCACCCGGGGGCGCCAGAAATGTCGTGAACATTGTGAGTTTAAGAGAAAATAATGAGCGGTTTGTTAAAATTTAGATCAGATGAAAGATCTTTTAATATATAGCATTTTAATACTATTTAGCACAGTGTAATAAGTTCATTTTACGTCCTCAAAAATGATCGTTACAACGCAGTTCGATCATCCATCTTTTCAACAATCTCTCTCGTTGCCATTCCGTAACAGAGAAACTTACCTCTCATGGAGTTCGATAGTGGCGCGACAAATGTATAGCTGGTATACGTTACTTTTCGAAAAAATCTTGAATACGTGAGAATCTTGAAAGAATTGAAGTGGTTAATTATAACTATGGTATAACTAACTTATAAGTTATATTATAACTTACTTATAAGTTCTCCTCTTGCAGACAAATACCTCACTGTCTTTTCTATCTTTTCCGCAGATATTTATTTCTGATTGCAAATTTTATGAAGACGTTAATGTTTGAATTAGGGATTTTAAAGTGTGATGCACTTGTAAGGGAGCATGTACTAATATAATGTTCTAAATCTCCTACTTCCCGACATACAAATCAATTTGCTGTTGAAATATCCCTTTAATTAAGATTTATGGGAAATGGGCCATGTCTTGTGAGATAGCAATTGATACGGTTGTTAGCTTTTAGACAGTTTTCAGACACCTATCGGTTAAACTGATGTAGTTTTCTGCCTGTTTCTCCCTATTGCCAGTCCTTTTCCACATGTTTAGCATGTGTATCTTCACTTTTAAGTGGTGTATCTTCACTTGTTGTGTCTTGTTTGGCAACTGCATCAGCTTCTTCATTGCCTTGGATGCCTACATGATTTTTAACCCATGAGATTCTACGGAATAGGCTTGGAGTTCTGTGGTACTATTGATGATGTCTTGAACTAGTTCATAATTATATTTAATATTTTGATGTATTATATATATTATTTTGATACATTTATATTTATTATTTATACCCTCAGTAATTTCTTCATCTATACAATTAATAAAGGATGTTAGATGTGTGGACGATATAATGTGAAAGATTGTTTGATACAAATGCCATAAGAATGTTCATAAAGCTGCCTAAGTGGAACAGATCGTGAGTGTAACGCAGACTGAGTTTAAAAAGAAAGCCCATGCTTCACAAAATTATTTTAATACATGTAATATAATAAAGAAAAATTGAGTAGCATAAACTGTTTTGGAGCGAAATAGCTACCGAAGGCAGGCTTCTGAATAGTGTTGGAAAATCACATTCTTGTAGTGCTTTCGGACGGCTAATAAATTAGGAATGTTAAGAGCTGGATTATCGGATGCCGGATTATCAGTTTTTTGCTGTGTATAATGTTAGAAGCGTATTTTTTAGATACACACCTAGTGAAAATAACTGCAAAATTTGTAGGTCATACCGTGGTAACGTACTAAAACTATGCGAAATTGTTGCTTCGAAAAAACGTTTTCGTGTCATGTTTATGTGTAGAAGATGTTTTGATTTTTGAACAAAAATACTTTTATATTAATGCTGTAGAATATGCATCTCTGCCTTTTAAAATTCAAATCATTTAAAAAGAAAATCAAAAATGCACATGAAAGAAATTAACAAAGATTTCAAACTGTTGGTTTGGTTGTGGTATTGAGTATGTTATAAAATTATAGCAAATGTACAAGTTATTCAAAATCAAGCAAAGGTATATTGATTAAAGTATACGTATAATGATATATAGTAGGTTGTTACATGATATGCAACGTAAATTAATAATTTATAATATAAATTAAGGCTGTCTGCCGAAACCTCGAGGCAAAAACATTGCGGACGAAAACGTCGAGAACATAGCAACGCAAGCCGCATCGAGGTACAAAATGTTATAGGAGGGAAAAAAATAGAAAGAAACCATCGTATTCTAAAACCTCTTGGTACAAAATATCGCAGTCGAAAGTAAAGCAGTTTAAAACTTTCGCAGTTTAAAAGCATCGTCGTCGAAAATGCCGTGGTAAAAAAATAAAGTATCTAACAAATCATTGCGTGACGATAACGTCGAAGACATGTATTCTTCAGGCTTCAAAAGTTATAAATGCATATTTGCATAACGATTTGTGAGCACAAGAAGGTAAGAGGGGTATTGTTACTTTTATATTTCATATTTTAAATATTAAATAATAAATTTTTGCTGAAAACTTAAGAAAGAATCTTAAGCAATTAAAAAGTGAAAATGAGTTGATAATTAATGCAACTTACAGCACTTATTAGAATTTTAAACATATACAGTTAACCAATAAAGGTCATTAATAAATTATTATTTTATAAAGCTTTACTGGTAATTTTTCATGAGAAACATAGATTAAAAGATTAGAAAAAGGAAGTTAAATAATTTCATGAGGTTGCCTATAGTAGTGTACAAATGAGAGAGCTGGCGCAGTGACCTTTGGGGGCGAAACAATGACTGCGAAACCCTCCATTAAAATCGAACCACTTTAAAATGATGGCTCTCCAACCCTCCATAAAATCGAACCCACTTTTAGAATGTGATGGCTCTCCAACCCTCCATAAAATCGAACAGAATGTGATGGCTCTCCAACCCTCCATTAAAATCGAACCCACTTTTAGAATGTTGCTCTCCAACCCTCCATAAAATCGAACCCAACTTTTAGAATGTGATGGCTCTCCAACCCTCCATTAAAATCGAACCCCACTTTTAGAATGTGATGGCTCTCCAACCCTCCATTAAAATCGAACCCACTTTTAGAAATGTGATGGCTCTCCAACCCTCCATTAAAATGAAAACCCACTTTTAGAATGTGATGGCTCTCCAACCCTCCATTAAAATCGAACCCACTTTTAGAATGTGATGGCTCAACCCTCCATTAAATCGAACCCACTTTTACAACGCTACTTTTCCAAAACGCCGCTTTTACAAAACGCCACTTTTCCTCTTCATCGCATGCTTCTTTTGCAAGGGGACATTCGTCCCCCACATAATCCACTGGCATGGTATATTTAGTGAGGGTATTAATTTATACCATCAGTGCACCATTATGTATGGCTTCTAGAGCGTCAAAGGAGAGAGACAATGGGTAATTGATTAATAATACCTAGTGAATAATAAAAGCATTTAAAGAGAAGGTTTGTAGTATATAGAAAGACAAAATGGATTTTCAATCAAAAAACAGTTCGACAGTTACAAGATTACTGTCGAGAAAATGATATTCGAGGATACTCGAAACTTAAAAAAAAGGTGGAACTGATCGCCCTCATTCAATACCACAAACGGCTTTTCCAGGTTCCACAATGACTTGTTTATCAAGCGAAAGAAGAAGAGGGAGCTAAAAATCAGGTGTTGCGGAAAGTTAATAAAGGAATCTAGCATAAATAAGCACTTACAAACTAAAGCTCATCAAAACTATAAGCCTAAGAAGGCCAGCCAGGAGGTTCACAGAGATGATTTTGACAATATGCAGGGGCTTGCATCATATGACCATTAACCAACTACGTGAATTTTGTCGATCGCGTGGCATCGCAGGCTATTCCAAACTACGGAGGAAGGCAGACATCAAAGCATACATAGAAAGCGTTTTGTTCAAAACCGTCACTTCGAATTTGATTCCGACCTGTTTTCAGATTCGCGAGAGAGAAGGCTATATACCCCAATGAAATTGATACGGCTTTTGAAAACCGTTTGGTGACATATGATGTCCAAAATGAGCACAATCTGATGCTTCCCAAAGACTTCTTGAACGATGTTTCATCACTGGTCCGGGGTCTTATTACAAAACATCTGAAGAGGCTGCATGGCTTGAAGGTTAATTTCCAATTTCTCTGTGACTATGAAAAAGGGAAAGATGATGAAACGATGACAGAAATGGAGAAAAACTTCAAAACAAAAAATGAAGTCATCTTAGAATCAACTGATTTGGTAGCTTATTACAGATCAGTTATCCAAAAAATTATTGACGGAGATGGAGGAGTTTGTTGCAAGGGGTTCAGGTTGGACGCTTGCTAGAATCAAAAGTCTTGAGGTGAGGATCAATAAGTACACCCCACTGAGAGGATCATCCTACATTGATTTGTCAAAAGTGATTAAAGCTAAAAAAGCAGTCATAAACGTAAAAAATGAGAATGATAATGAGTGTTTTAAAATGGGCGATACTGTCTGCACTACATCCAGCAGAAAAAGATGCCCAAAGAGTCACCAAATATAAGCCATATGAAAATGAGCTAAAGTTCGAAGGCATTGAATACCCAGTAAGAGATGGAAGACAGAGTACTCGAAAGGTTCGAAAATGAATAACATATCAGTGAAATATACTCATACGATGAAAAGACTAACATATACCCCTTAAGAATAACTAAGCATAAAGTAGATAAGCATGTCAATTTACTTTACATAAGAAACGAGAAAGGGAACAGTCATTACTGTTGGATAAAAGACATGTCCAAATTAATATGTGGGCAATTAACCAAGCATAATGGAAGAGTATACCCATGTGAAAGGTGCCTGTTATTTTTTCACTCTGAGGAAGATCTTCAAACGCATGAAAAGGATTGTAAGAGAAAAATCAGGCTGTTAAAATAGTAATGCCTGAAAAAGATTTAAAATTAAAGTTCAAAACATTACCATAAATCGCTACGAGCACCCTTTTGTAATGTATGCAGATTTTGAAAGTTTAACAACTAAGATAGATACATGTCAGCCCAGATCCCAAGAGCTCTTACATGCAGAAGTACCAAAAACATGAACCCATGAGTTTCTCACTTTACATTAAATATAAGCACGGAGACTACAAACCGCCTATCACATATAGAGGTCCAAATGCAACTAAAGTATTTTACGAAACGTTGAAAGCTGAGGCCTTTAGAGATAAAGAAAATTTATGATAAGAAGCACCCAATCAAAATTTACTGATGAAGATGACAGGCATTTCAAGAGAACCCATATATGTCATATCTGCGGGTTTAACATCAAAGAGTAGTACCATCA